TTGGACAAATTAAACCACTTAAAAATAATGAAAATACTGACCTTGAGCTGGAGTTTGTAAGGGTCCTACCCACAGCTTTTTAAAAGTACTTGGGTGTCTAAAGCTGCATGTTTATACCTAGGTTGATTTGTAGAAGCTCTTAGCTGGAAGGGAATGAGCAGAAGTTAGAGCCCAGGTGGTTGTTGGCATCATTAAAAGGTAAAATCTGGTGCCCAGGGGTGGTTGGGTGCCCAAAGTTTCTGTAGAGTGAACTGCTCAAAACTCAGTTTTCTGAGCTGGGAACCCTAACATTGAAATCTACAAAGATAATCAGATTCTTTGGGAAAAAAAAAAAAAATAAATATCCTTAGTTTGTAGAATTAGAGAGATTTGCTTTCCCTTCAAGTTCATGTCACTATTGGATCCTTCTTGACTTCAGTGTGAGCAGAACTTGGCCCTTTTTATTTATATCCTTTCCACTTAGAGGTAAGTGATCAGAGGGCTGGAGCACCTCTCTTATGAAGACAGGCTCAGGGGTTGGGGTTGATCAGCCTGGAGAAGAGAAGGCTCCAGGGAGACCTTAAAGCACCTTCCAGTGCTGGGGAAGAGCTGCTCACAAGGGCAGGTAATGACCTGGGTGATGATTTCAAGCTAGAAAAGGGAAGATTTAGGTTGGACATTAGGAAAAAAGTTCTTTAATATGAGGGTGGTGAAGAACTGGAACAGGTGGTGAGGATTCCATCCCTGGAGACATTCAAGGTCAGGCTTGCCAGGGCTCTGAGCAACCTGGTCTAGTTGGAGATGTCCCTGCTTATTGTATGGGATTTGAATTGATGACCTTTAGAGGTCCTTTCCAACACAAGACAATCTATATTCTATGAAACTTTCCTGCTTGTGAGAAGTAAGCAGCAGGTAAAATGAATCAAGTAGCCATGAAGCAAACTGGTAGAAAATCTGTAGGGATGTGCTGTCTTTTAATATTTCAAGTAGCAAGGCACAACACAGTCTGTCGAACTGCAAATCAGTTCAGCCTTCTACCCATTGTGCCTGGATCATCACAGGCAGATCAATGCTAACAAGAGCTGAAACGGTCCCAGTGTGGAGTTACCAGTAGCTGAGGTGATACCAGGCTCAAATGTGTCAAAGAAGAGGTGCTGAATCTTGTGATGTGGGACCTCGCAGGGTACAGGGACTTTGTGTAGAGAAGATGTGAAAAAGAACTGAGAAAGAGCAACTCTGCTGACAACTGAATCTGTGGTATGGGGGTCCACATCACCACTAAAAATCTCTTAGAGGTTTTTTTCCAGGAGAGTTTGGAAACCACAGCCCTTTGGAGTGTGTTACATATCTGTGGCATAGCTTCCTCAAAGGGATAATATATACAGACTCTGTCTCTGTGACTCTCCTTCTTTGAGCTTTAGGGATTTCACAGCATGCTAAAAGCCCAGAAATTTGCTGTCCCTCTTCCAAGCCAGACAATGGGCCTGTGGCCTCACCAACAATGTATGACTGCAGAAGCACTGGCTAGAGCCCATCTGCAAATTGGATTGGGAAGAGTTGGATCCTGTTGTTTTGTTTCTTATTCTAATGTTTGTATCCTTTTCACACAGCTTTCCTTATGACTGGCTTTTATTTGGCCCTCGAGCTTAACATTTGGAGCTTCTATTTGTTGGTTTTTTTTTCATCACAGAAAATGCTGATTCTTCCAGCAAGCATCTTTCTTTTGTGTTTTGTTTCATTTTCTATCCTATAAGAGTTCTTATTCAGTAGCTCATTGAAACAACTGAAACAATTAAAGCAACCAACTTACTAACATCTGGTATGTGTTTGCTTTCTCTCTTATCCTCTCTCCAGGGCAAGAAATGTGTGCTTTGGAATGGTTAGCAGTTTATTATGTTATATAAGAATACTTGTTGTTTACAGAAGATCAAAGAGGTTAATGTTGCACTCCAAGATGAGAATTGCAAAGTTGGTGGTAGCTCTGTGTTCTTAGCATGTTCATGACACAGGCTTTGGCATTCCAGGAAAGCATCTTTTCCAGATGAGCACAGTTCTACCCTTGAGTGAAAAAGTCAGTTGAGTGAGTAGAGGGTTCCCCTGAGTTGTGTTGAGACAGAAGCTGTTGTCTGTGGTCTTTGTCCTGTGACTGAAGTCACTTGTTTAAATGCCACAAATTGTTCTGATGGTGCCTGGCACAAGAGTGTCCTGGTCCATGGCTCAGGAATCAAGGTCTGTGCAAGTCAAACATGACATTCTTCAGATCTGGACACAGTTATCATGAAACTTCCCTTTGTTGGTCTAATCTAAAAATCACTGATCAGCAGTGTTATAGCAGGTTCTGGACTGTGGCCTTGCAAAGCAAGATCCATTTCGTCTCTGTAACTTGCACAAAATGTGGCTCCAGTGCCCTCAAAGCAAAGCAGCAAATTGTTGCTGACTGAATTTATTGTAGAGAGCAATTACATGGAGGCACCATTATGAATATAATCTGCATAATCAATATGGGTTTATATTGCTGTCTCAATAGTGAGTCAGAGCCTGGTGCACTAAAGATTTGCTGAGCACTGAGTTCTTGCTTCAGTTATTTTGGAGTAAAACTTGCTTTGTTTTTGTTATGGTTAGAAATGTCCCTAGATCATCTTAGTAGGTTGCCTGCTTTTTAAAATATGTGCTTACATTGCTAGTGCTCCCATCTTTATAAACTGCTGCAAGTGAAGTAGAGATTTTACTCACTGAAATTAATCAATAAATAGAGTCAGTTTGGTTTTGAATATACTTTGACCTCCAGTCACTCCAGTCCTTGAGAACTTTATTTTTCTTTTAATTTATAGTGTTATAAAAACACAGCTTGGCTCTAGATCATGAGTGAAGTGGGGCTCTGTGTATCAGCTGAGTCCTGCTGCCATTCAGCTCTGAGGAGAGATCAGTGCTTTTATTTTGTGTCTTAATCGTTTCTAAAAGCTGAGTCTTGGGAAAGGTTTGGAGCAACTGTGTCTCACAGTCGTTGTGTAAGCTAGTAAATACCTGTCTTTAAGGTGTAAAATCACTTCTGTGTGCAGTTTCTCATGCCATAAAACCTGGCTGTTCTCTGTCTTGCTTAGTTGGAAAGCTGAATGTCTCACCTAATGCTTCTTTCCCCTCCCGTGTCTTAACAGAACAAGAACATCTCTTGGTTGCCTGGTGGGCACTGCACACAGTAAAATGAATGTTCCAACTAAGTTCTTTAGAATCTTTTTGTAGTGTGGCCAGAAAAAAAACTAAAAATGCTTTGCCCCATTTTTCAACAGAACATTTTTCTTTCAGTATTTAACCAAAGCTCACTCGGGACAGGGATCTGTTTTTGCAGAATCAATTGCAAGAGCAAGTGTGTTGTTTCAGCATTTTCTGGGCCTGGGTGTTCATGTGTTATAGGTGTCAGTCATTGTCATACACAAGGAGATGACTTTTTAGTAGCTTTGGTTGAAACGAGTTCTGTGAAGAAACAGAAGTAAGTTCTTCAGATCTGGACACAGTTATCTCCAGAGAAGGAGACTCCACAGCCTCTCTGGGCAGCCTGTCCCAGGGCTCTGTCACTCTCACAGGAAAGAAGTTCTTCCTCATGTTGAAGTGGAACTTCCTGGGCTCCAGTTTGAATCCACTGCACTTTGTCGTATCACAGGGCATAAGTGAAAAGAGCTTGTCCCTGCCTTCTTGATGCCCTCGTGTATTTATAGACGTTAATTAGATTCCCCCTCAGTCTTCTCCTCTCTGAGTAGCTTCCCCAAGCCATTAAAGAGCACCAGAGCAATTTATTTGCATCAAATGACTCCATCTGCTAGGAGGGGAGAATTATGGTGCTCTCTTGTCACATTTAAAATTCATTGAGTTCCATATTAAATTGAAATAAATTAACTTAGTATACATCAATTAATGCTTAAGTATCAGAGATCAGAAGAATTTGCTCTCCTCATGATCAGAAGTTATATATAATCTCATGAAAAGTGTAAGAACTGCCCATTTTGGCTGAAAGACAACTGTTCCTTAGAAGGAAATGGGTTAAGCTCTGAAAAAGTTTACTTACAAAAATAACTTTACCTGCCTATTTGAATTCAGTTGCAACTAAATTATTAAATTTACAGTAAAATATAAAAATGTTGAAATGTCCTTCTGTCTGTCTGCAGGCACCCACAGTTACTTGCTGAGGCAAAATTTCTATGGAAGTTCTACCTCTGGAAGCTCCTGTTTCCAGAAATGGCATTTCAACACCAGCTTCTCAGCAGTCCCATAGTGCTTGTGGCTGTGCTGTGGCAGAACAGGAAGAACTTCTGGAACTGACCAAGGTTGTCAGAGGGTTGTGACACTCCAGGTAAGTAGAAAAATACCTGGAGGGAGTGCAGATACCCAAATATGTACTAGACAAAACTCTGAACTCAGGAATTGGAAAGCTTGAAATGCACATCTGGTGTTTTCAAGAGTACAGAATGCTCTTCTGTGGATGGCTCTAGAAATAAATGATGTGATATGATAACAGAAGTAATTACAGGCCAGATTAAAGCAGGTGGCGTTGAAAGAAGTGGATGATAAATTGCAACATCATATAAAGGAATATGGCTCTACTGAAACTGTAATTGAGAGACACCTGCTCTTTGTCCTTAATGTTTTGATGGTTTGACAGGTTTTCTGTCCTTAACCCAAAGAATTTCTCCTTTACTGCAGTAAACTTATCTCCTAAGTGTTAATCTCAATGTGATCACAGTACAGAGTATGATTTATTGATTAATTAGTCCTTCTTCCTCCACATGAGGAAAAGGTAAGGAGAGCTACACCAGAACCTATTGCTTTCAGATTTGCTAAAGCTGAGCTAAACCATCAAACTGATTTCACCCTGCTTCTGTGAAAGGCTGAATAATGGAACTCATCATTTCTTTTCCTTTTTTTTTTCTAGAACATTTTCACAGTGACCGGAGGTGGAAAAAAAGAACGTGTCACCAGAGCAAAACTGAATTCAGTGCCCTAACAATATCTTGTGTTCTTTTCAGGTTCCATGTAATCTCGTTGGGCACCAGCAGTGAAATCCTTCTGTCCAAAATGGTTTATGGTGAATTTTTCCGCAGACCTGGCAAAGATGCAGAACTTATCCATTTGAACGTGGGTGGTTTTAAGCAGTCAGTGGATCAAAGCACCTTGCTCAGATTTCCTCACACCAGGCTTGGGAGGCTCCTCAAATGCCATTCAGAAGAGGCCATTCTAGAGCTGTGTGATGACTACAGTGTTGCAGACAAGGAATATTACTTTGACAGGAACCCTTCCTTGTTCCGATACGTCCTGAATTTTTACTACACGGGCAAACTTCATGTCATGGAAGAACTTTGTGTCTTCTCCTTCTGCCAGGAAATAGAGTACTGGGGGATAAACGAG